TAGGTATTACGAATAAATTTATATATTTTCATCTTAATTCGTTATGATAATGTTTTTTTCGTGTATGTACATTTTCACAGGTGATTTTTTGCTGAAATTATGACATTTAAAAGAAGTTCAGAGGTTTATTATCATATTTATGACATATCAATGCGAAAATACCAATGCGTACCAATATCTTGGTGCGTATACGTTTAAAATGATTCAAGTTGATACTTAAAAACTACCCATTTGTATAAATTAGAATAAAATTGTTTGTATAATTAGATAAATACTTTACATTGTAATCATAGTTTGGGGGTTATTTTATTCTAAAGCAGTTGTGTTGTTAGTAAAAAGGTAGTTTTTATATTTAGGAAAGCTTCATTTCAAATTCTTAAACGCGACCATGTGTCATATAAAATTTAAATGTTTGATTACATACAATATATAGCTCACATCAAGAAATATTTTATGTTCGATTATAGGGAATTATAGTAAAGTCTTGTTGACAAATTTACGCAAATCAATCATATGTAGTTACAATTGATGAATTAATTTTTAGCGCTTTTATAATTTGAATTCATCAAAAATTTATTTTGTTAAATAAAATATATTTTTTATGTTTTCGAATAGAAACCAAATAAATATTGTTATAAAGTTTATTTAGTCACTTGTATGCGAATTTAAAAAAAAAACTCGCCTAATAAAAGTGATTTTCAAATGTGGACTAGTTAATTATTTTTTTATTAAGAAATAACTTAGCTTTTTTCAGCTAATAAGATAATAACAATAAATCTGAATTAATAATTTTAAGAAATTTTCTGGCTGATTTTTTTTTATTTTAATAACAACAGTAGTTTTAAAGACGATTTTAGCAAAAAAAAAAAAATTAATAACTAAAATGATTATAAAAACCTTTTTTAAACTGAATTAAATTAAAAAAAAATTCAACTTAACTTTTAAAAGTATCAAGTTAAACTTATACTTTGTTAACTTATCGACATTGTTCCTTATTCATTGTTCCATTGTAACTTATTTATTTTCATTAACTTGCCCGTTTTGGTGATCTGATTAAATGTAACTTTTGTTGTCACATAGATTTTTTTGTCATGAAACAGAGTCATTTCACATTTATATTCCCCCGAGTGATTTTTAATGTCAGAGTTTACCATACACCAAACTCCTCCATCACTGCTATCATTTTATTCTTATAGTGGGAAGGTCATATCTTGGTTGTTGTTTTGTCCCAAGTTTAAGGTCACCGCTGAGTAATTTATATAAATACATGTATGATCAGTACAGACAAGCAGAGAGAAGGTAGAAACGTTTTTATTATTATTATTTTTTAACCCCGTCGTCTACTACTTAATGGGATCGACGGCGAGTTGCCGTTATATATGTGTCCAATGACACTGTACACCACACAACCACCTTCAACAGCGGTAATGCGTATGTATACTATGTATGTGTTTAATGTCCATTATTACTACTACTACTACTACTACTATTATTATTATTCATCCGGTAGGGCTTAATAAAATTCAACCACCGAACTGTCTGGGTCAAACTGCCCGACAGTCGTCAGGGGTTCGCAGACTGTCTATTGATAACTTGTCTGCTTACAAAAAAACACTGAACGTTTGGTTTTGTCTCTATTACTACAATTTAAAATCAAATTTTCTAGAGGAAATTATTTAATTAATTTGTGAGAAGAAAAATGTTGACGTTAATTTTGTAAGCACTATTCTATTTACGTTTTGATTTACTGGTTTCTCCTTTTTAGATAACATCAAAAGATTTTATTCAAAACTCTATAAGTTAATGTTAACGCGCAACTCGCACCTTGAATAAAGCAATATTTTAATTGATCTAAAAGACAAAAGCTAATTACAAATGTCTGGGAAGTTATAAAACAGTAGACCTTATCTGACTTATAGAGTAACTTATGCAAATAAACACGTGTTATTTTGTTATTATGATACAAGGTAACTATCATTCTTAGTTCACCTATATGTCACCAGTAGGTGAATTGCGTAAAAAGTTTTTTGTATTGTACACTTGTCTCGTGTCTGTGTATTATTACCTCATTCTACTATATTTTTATGATAGTTTTTATTGACTTTTAAAAATACGTTAGGTGGTTATCATGTATCTAAGAAATCGGTTTGATATGAATACAATTTTCTTATACACCAGATATTAATTAATTAAAAATAAAATAAATTTAAACATCAAAATTAATTCTTGAATGTATTTTGGCAAGTTAAAATTCGATTTGTTACCACAAATATATAATATATATATATATATATATTAATACTTAAAATGTGGTACTAAATGAATGTACCAAAACTCAAAGCTTAACAGCATATTAATGGAATTATATAGTTGGTGCATTATAATATGTATCAAGAACTAAAATGAGTGTAATCGATATTTTGTATAAAAGTTTTTGAACACTATGTATTTAGTGTATCAAGTTAGAAGTTTAAGAAAACACATACAGTTATAGTGTTTTCTTTTTGGTATTTTATGAAAACTTTGGTTGTGTATAGTTATAAAAATATGAAAGTCAAATGTATATAATCAGCTTGAAATTAATTTTCAACTCGAGTATGTGATCCGCCGTGTGAAGAGAAAAATAAATATGGTATAGAAATTTGGACAAAATTAATTGGTCTCTGTTTGTATACCTTATAAACAATAAACTAATATACATCACACATCTATAAAACATGACTAGCTGCAAACTGTAAAATACTTTAAGCAATAAGAATTAAGATCAACATACAATAACCCTAGTTCATAAATACTTAATAGTCTAAACGAGGGCATTCGTCGCCTAATGGTATACAAAAGTTTTTATTCGAATATATAATGCGAATTTTTATAAATTAATGATAAATGTTGTGCGACTTCAATAAACTTCTTTAAGTCGTGCCGGTTCAATTAGGGATGAATAATTTTCATGAATAAAATTTCTTTTTACTTTTATATCCTATTATTACATGTTTTCACTCAGATCTAAATAAATAACCATTTAAAATATATAGATACTTTACTCGCATTTAAAAAGAGAAACACTTCAATCATTTACGAAAAATAATTCACGTGAGTCAAATAGAAAGAGTAACTAGAACTTAGTCGGATACATTTCTAATATAAAAACAATCCTATCGTATTTCTAAAAATAAGTTAAAATATTTTTATATTAAATATGTTTGATTAATAAATTTAGGCGGCTGTTGTATTCTTTTGTTTGTAAAGACTGTTTTAGCTTTTAATAATTAAACAAAAATCGTGCATTATAATGCACAGTCGACATGTGGTGTAATGAGTCACTAACCAGAGCTTAAAGACCTGTACCGGCCGTTAACTTACAGTCGCAACATTTGGATCAAAACCAACACATGCAATATAACATTACATATATTATATTGTATTAATATAAAGCTTTAAACGTTATCCACTGTAGCACCAGCTTCGTACATAATGCACATGTTGTTCACTCATGTATATCACACATATACATATATTATGGCTCACCTTGAACTCGCAGATAGAAAACAATTATCTATATTCCCAGTGGAATGAGTTTTCTTTGTATTAACATTGAAATATCTGTTTAAAAATGTTAGAAATGAAAATGTGATAAATCATAAAAAATCTCCTTTCGATAATTGTAAATATCATAAATGCCAAAACAGAATTATATGGTGTGGTTATATTCTGTCGTTAATTTATTTAAAAGCACATTAGCTAACTTATTAATAACGTTTACACTTGAACCTCAATCGAGGTGAAATATAAATACATATTAATTTTTCACGCATAGAAATAATCCTGATCGAGTTCATTAATTATGATAAAATAATCTATGTGTATGCAATAAGCTTAAAGCTTTTTATTTTCTTAGGTTATGTTATATTTAAAAGTGGATTAATCGATAAATCTAAATAGTTTTAATTTTATTATTCAAATTTCAAATTTTAATGAATCTATCTTTGTTGAAATGAGGTTCTTAAATTGACTTGTATTAATTTTTATATTTTTGGATACATTTTATATGTATGGGCAATCAAAGAAACACATTAAGAAAATATTTTCGAGTTATTTTATGTTTATTAACTCAGACGCCTGAAGAATATGCAACAGAATATACTTGTTTGACAATTTATCTCCATCTATTAGTGACTTGGTCAACTAAAATATACTTTGTGCAGAGTATATAAATGAACATTTTTAGACACTAATGAGAGAATTCATTTAAAAATGTACCTAATTAAGAGTATAAATAAAACATATTATTCAAGGTCACTTAATTATCATTCATAGCAGATATTGCTATATCGTATCAATATTAAATTAGAACCTTTAAAACAGATGATAGCGAAGCATAATATTTGCAATAACACTTACTTTTATTTTGATATTTGTACTCTATGGAATAAATTTATCTATTCTCGAGAGGTTATTTACAAAAAAGTCACGTACACATTTATATCGATTACTAGTTCTAAAAGTTTGTATTAACTTTATTTTATATTTTTTTCGTTAGGATCACTCTAAAGAGATTTACTCTTACGATTTATACCAATGAGTGGTCAAAGAACTCCATTATACTATATCTAATTTTTATTTTCAGTAAATTTATCTTGGTCTTATTTATTGAATTTACCGAGTAGCAATGACATTTTCAAGTAAATCTATTTGTGCAAAGTTTTACAAAAAAATTACACGGCTTATTATCTAACAAAAAGTCTTCTGAGATCAATAAAACAAATATCTTTAAACAGTTAGAAATTAGCTCTAAGATGTTTAAAGCCAACATTTTCGTTAAAATAATTAAATCTAATTAATTAAGTATGTATTTAGCGTTGATAATGATAACATTGTTCCTGAAATACGTATCCGCGATTTTCAGTAATTTTTTGTGGCTTTTTAAGTTACTTTATAATATTTTATAGTTTTGAATTGATATAGTTTATATAATTATAATGTTAAATAATAAATTCTAGATGAATGTTAAGAACTACTTTTAATCAATAAAGTAGCAAAAATTTTGAGAAGAGATTTTTATGACTCGTTCATGAGCTGAAATAAAATAAAAATTTGGAGCGATACAACTCATCTTTGTTGCTCATCGGTATAGTGACTCATAACGTCGGACATAAATTGTCTTAGTAACCGAACTGAAATTACGTACTCGAAAAACATTAATTTGACACGTTATTCAACTACTGTTTTGAATGTCTTTCGCAATAACCGATCAATGAACTCCTAAGTAGGTAAGTGTATACAACTAACTTACACTGTATATTAAGTGTAAACAGTGCAAGACATGACGTCATATACAAACATCCGTTAGTTTTGTAAGCTAATTGTAAAATGCATTACTGCTGAAGAGTGAATAAAACTTTACATTTTTTTTTTTATTATTATTTTTACTTAAAATATTTCATAAACCTTAATTAATGTTCTACATACAGTATAATATTCTTGTTTTATGACGAAGTATTTTAGTTCAAAAGAAAGAGTTCAAATTTCTAATCAAAATCATTACAGTGTTCATAAATACACTTCATTGCTGTAAAAACGTTGTGAGGACCATACTTAAAACTTTAAAGATTCAGATAATTTAGGGAACCAACTTATAAATAAAATATAGGTTTGGAGAAATCCCAAATTCGTGTGTTTGATCACCACCAAGGATAAATATGCAACGTTCCTTGAATACTAAGTACAGAATGATAAAGTTATTGATACAGATTAGTTCGGTTAAATGAAACTTATTTCTATTCGCTTTCTTTAGTTTAAAGTGAATATAATTAGTTTTCATGGGTTATATTTCTTAACCTTGTTGTTTAATATTTCATATAAATAAACTAAATCATAAGCTGTGTTGGTTATCGATGTTGGTTCTTTGATGAATATTCAAGTATTACAATAGCCTATAATTGCTACTCTTTGGTTTCTGAAAATCATTGCAATTAGAATTTTTAAGTATTCGCGAGATCATTTTTTTAATTAAATTTAATGATATCAAACTGATTTTGCTGTTTAAAATACAAAGGAATATATTAAGATGATTTTTTACTACATTTGTTCTCATAATGGATGTGTAATTTATTTAAGGATGAATCAAACAAAATTTTGTTAAAATGTTCGTAAAATAAAATTTATTTAAAATTCTCATTTAATATCACTTGACTGATGAGGGTTATATTCATTTGATCTCGCTGTATAATTTCTTCCATAGGGTTAAAATAACCCCGTCGGTCGTAACAGTCAACACGCATATTTTCTACTCGGTTGTAGACACGACCCTTTATTTTTGCCTAGTTACAGGGTAAAGACATGCGCTTGTGAGATTTAAACAAGGGCAAGGTCATCGTCCTTTCATTGCCGCCGTCATCGTCTCCACCCCAACCGATCAATAATAAACTTTGCAGCGTCGTATCTGTACTCGTTTCTTAAATTGTTTATTTAGCTGAAACAATAGAGAATCATAAATGAAATTCAATAAGATATAATTTAACGTTGACATACTTCGTAGTTAACTTGTAAATACGAACATAAACAAATGTATATGTTTTCGAAAGTGTAGATCTCATTAAGCCCACGGGCGATCAAAAAGATTCTTTCATTTTAGATCTACTGACAGAATTCTATTTTATCTTACACGATTATCGCCCACACTCCATTCTCAAGATTATAGTTAATTTTGAATTAGAATCAGAAAAGAAGGGTCATTAAACTTAATTTTTTTTTGAGAGATAATTAAAAATATATGATTAAAAAAACGGCGATGTCAAACATTTGAATAAATTACTCTGTTATTATTAAAAACTGGACTTAATTGTTTTTATATTATATATTTGTAAAAGCCATTTTATACAGACCCAAGTTTATACAAACTCATTATGGGCAATGAAAATTTACAATGAATATTGTGTTTTTTAGCTTTAAATATGTCAAAAAAAACCCTATTTTAATGTAGATGGACATTTAGGTGCCACTAATTTGAAAAACTTCTAGTTTCTTAAAATTAAAAAAAATATATCTCAAAATTACACTACCGTAAAAATTTAAACAATTTTTTTCTGCATTTTAAAATAGATGTAATTTTTTTTAAACAATGATCCAAATGAGATTTCAATTGAGTATACTAGAGATAATAAACTTATCTTTTGGTATGCTTATTAAAAAATTCGATAAAACCTATGCACTAGACTGGTTTAAAAGAGACTACTTACAAATATGGGTACCTGAAAAGTCTTATAACCTCTGATATTATTTATCTTAGTTAATTTATATTATAGCCAAAAATTGCGTAATTCCTGTAAAAATGCGTAACTTTTTTCATTTTGTTATAACTTTTTTCAAAATTACATTGATTCTAATAAAATTATAATATGCCAGATACAAAAACCTTTTTTTCAGAATATGGTTAGTAAAATTTTAATAAATACTGGGTTAATTTGTGTAAGCTTATTTAGTTATAGGCTAAATAAATAGATTATTTATAAATAGATAATAGATATATTTATATATAGATATATATAAAAAGATTATTATTATTATATTAATTAAATATATTTATTAATTATATATGTACCTAACGATGATCTAACGGACAACTCTTATAACTTATGATCTACATAACATTTATATTTTTTTAATCATTATGAAAAGAAATTGCGTACAGTCGCTAGTAAGTAATGTAATAAAATTGTGTTTTATTCCGTCTTTTACATAATATGGACTAACATTTGATACCATAAAAAAATCATATACACATTCAAAACTTAAGAAACTTCAAAATGCTATAGAAACCTAACGACCAAGTTAAAAAAAGAGTTTTTGGTATTAATATATTTTTTTAAATTAATTTAAAATATGGTTATATTCAAATTTTTAAAAAAATATTAATGAAAAAATTATTTTTTGTAATTGTGAAAAATAACATAAAACAAATTTTAAATATAAAATCTAATTAAAAAAACGTATAAAATATTAGGTAGAACATAAGTTATATGAGTTGTCAGTTATATATATATATATATATTGTAATTATTACAAATATTCAAAATTAGTACGTTTTTTGTATTATTTAATTTAACTATCATGGAAGATAAAAATAAATAATATCACCTTTACTTATATCTTAGCCATGCAAATTCATCTTTATCATAGAAAATCGATTCTGATAAGAGTTTTTAAAATTTGATGACTTATCCTCCAGTAAAATAAATAAATTTAATAAAATTTATTGATTAATTTAAATAAAATAAATTAAAGTGATGTCTTCTTAAAATATCTTGATGTTACATTACCAAGTATCCTTAAGACATTACATTTTACACAAACATGGAAGTGTAAGTATAATTTATGTAGTTAATTTTATAAATATATTGCAATAAGTGTTATATTTTACAGTAAGAATCCACAAGTAGCTGTATTAAGTAATTATGAGGTAATACTGTTTATGCTAAATAATTTTTGTATATTAGGTCTACAATAATAATGATCAGTTTTACATCCTTATATTTCCCGAACTTAACATGCCACAGAGGGTGGTGGCCCTCTTTCACATATTAGGGAATCAAAGATGTTTCTTAGTTAGGTCAATGGACGAGGCGGGTATTATGGTCAACTTGCACCAAAGGCCAGATGCCATCAATAAAAAAATCTTGTTGGCACGCTGGGGATCAAACCCGGTACTCCATGTGCCAAAATATACATTTCTACGCATTAGGCCAGGCCAACTTTCCAAGGACCTATCTACAATAATAAAAAAAAAATTTTCCATTTTCATATATCTATCGTAGAAAAACCAAGTATGTTAGTAATATCTTTAGAATTACATCTTCACAAAAGAACTCTCATTATAATAAATAAAATTTTAATTATTTTCTTAACTTACTTATGAACTCTATAAATATTATTTGAAAATAAAATATATTTTCCAAATAACTTCATTTTAAAAAATATTACCATTTTTTTTTTTATTATGCTTTAAATTTAACATCTTTGTATAAACTGTAAATTTATATGCCACAAACAACAATTTATTTTTTTTAAGTTGGAATTTATCTGTCCCTTTGAAATTGTTTCATAATATTTTTTATTGATAACTTTTTCTTAGAAAGTTTTTTTATTTTATTTCAGGCATTTCAACTTCTAAAAAAAGCTCAAGAAAATAACAAGCTAATAGGAGGTATGAGTCATTCAACAATTTTATATGAGGTATAGTATATTTCAAATATTATTAATCAGACTCAGCTAAAGGTGTTGGCAACAGAGTCATATCTTGGGTGACATTTTAAAAGTGTAATATTTTTTTTATTATATTTGTAATAAACTTAATATTTACAAAACATATAAAGGTACAGAAAAAATAAAACTCCTTTAATTATACAAAAAAAAAAAAGAAATAAACATAGTATATTTTGTTTTAAATAAATTTATTTGACCAACAAATATCACTTCTTTGGTAAAAAGCACATAGTCAGCAGATGGTCAACTGACTTGAATTACTATTTATACAGATGATACGATCACATTTGCATGTATATATATATATATATATATATATATATNTTGCATGTGCCCATATCTCTGTCTCCCATACCATCGTTGTACCGTTTAATAGACATATATATATAATTAACACAGTGACATACAACAATACTAACAGGAGGGCGGACTGCACACATAAACATTTTAGCAATTCACGGCCAATGTGCTATAATACGATATCCCTATCGACAGTTGACCTTTTACCATCTTCGCGATCACTACTTTGTCTGATCATTAACTTAACTTCGCTACTCCGTATATTATAGTGTGTGTGTGTGTCGCCGTCAGCTCCCTGTTGGATTAATCATCTCTAGGTGTCCAGCAGGTTGTATTATCTATTTAATATTTCAATTGCTTAATAAATATTTATTTATATTGTTGTTAACCTAAAGTGTTATATATATATATATATTGTAGTGCGACCCTTGGTAGTTCCTCTAAGGGAATATAAATTAAATTAGAAACTTCAGTACCTAAGGTAGATATAGCCTAGCCAGCTATCCCCCGTTGGTCCCTTAGAATACTGTCGTCGGGCATTTAGGCTAAACCCCTAAATAGCGACGTAACACAGATGATACAACAGTCGATCAACCATATAGTAATGATAAGTTGACCCCTCTGCTACATTTTAATAGTTATATAAATAATCATCACATAAGTAAAAAACAACATAACTTAAATTATCCTAGGTATTTTAAAACCTAAGTGTTAAACTTAAATCAGAAATGTTACTATTGTGATGAAGTTACTAAACCTTTTTAAAATAACTCAATAATTTTATTTTATAGGTTTTCAAACACTTGGAACATAAACCATGTGCGGGTCAAAGTGAGAGTAAAATAAAAGAATTCTTAATGCAATTAAGAGACATGCCAATAAATCTAACAAAAAAAGAAAAACTAATGCTTGTTAATGACCCACCTGATACAATTTTACAACTATCATTGGTACTTTTAGCTTATACGTTTAAACAGAGTAATGATCCACTTAATTAATCGAAAAATAAAAATAATATTAATAATTTTTATTGGTTTCTTTTAGTTCAATGTTTTTCTCAATTTATCATAAATGAAGTTTTTTCTATGGTCATCCTTACATCTTATAGGGGTGTCTTTTCTTTTTTAATTTTTCAAAGTGCAACACCCCTTATTAAGTTGGTTATTAAGACCCAGAATAATAATTTTGAATACATAATTTTGCCAGAAAGACAGGACTCTTTGACACAACCACAAGGGTGACTTGATAGTTCACCCATTATACTATGATAGGTATAATATAATAACACGTGAGTGATAACACTTAGACGTGTAAACTGAATCAAGACAATTCAGTAAGAGGCGTGCACAATGGACTAACAGGTCTGAGTGCATGGGTGTTATGTCCACTTCAATAATAACTACAACTAAAAACTAAGTAGCTTATTTAATTGATAATAATTTAATCAAGTAAATTACTGATTGATAACAACTTTTGTATCGGTATTTCGAAAGTTCTTGATATATTTATATGTAGGTAAGAGGAAGTGTATGAGTGCAAAATTGTTCCGTTATAAAAATAGCAGCATCCACTCATCACCTCCAGTCATTACTTTCAGTTTTTAATAACTTCTGAAATACTTGTCTAAAAGTTATTAAGGTATAAGGGATGAACATAAGAAAAACTTCATTAATGATAAATTGAGAAAAACATTGAACTAAAAGAAACCAATAAAAAAATTATTAATATTATTCTTATTTCATGATTAATTAAATGATTTATGATAAATAAATCACACTGTGTACAAAATTGTTTAAATCTTGTTAAATTTAGAAATTTAAAATCAAATAGTTTAAACTGTGAATCTATGATATATTATCTATATTAATGGTTTTTTCATGGGTAGATAACTATATACAGGAGTGGATAAGCTTAATGGGAAATTGGAAGTTTCCTAGTATTATAAGTTATCATCTAACCTTAGTTTCTTAATCTTAATCTACCCCAGAAGCAAATTAAGATCCTGAAAATTTGGATTGAATAGTTTAAAGAAATCATTTTATAAATGTAATGGGTTTTACTTCTTATTAGGCCAATAAAAACAAAGACATGAGGTCCTTTCTAGTATTTTTTAATTAGTAAAAATTACCTTATTGCCCCTGCAATTTTGGTCATTTAAAAGTTAAGAAGATTGTATAAATACAATTACAGTCAATGTTTCTTAGATACAAGTATACTTCTTAAATACATGAGAAACTAAATTATGTCCCTATTTTTTTTTTATTTTTAATAGATATTAGAAAAAAAAATATGAATAAACAGAAACATTTGGGGAGGAAGATTCCCTCCTTTTCACTATAACTTTATTTCTAATATCTATAGAATAGGAAATATTTGAAGTCTCAAGTCTTGTGTATGACACTAAATATTTTTAAAATAAATCATCTGCTTTTATTTTAGATTATAAAAGACTTCTATGATAGACTGAGTGAACAAGAAACAGAACTGTTGTTAAATGCATCCAAAACATTTTGTGAAGAAAATAGCCAATTTACAACTGATGAATCAAATGTAGATCTTGCACCATCATAAAATGTTGATTGATAATTTTCATTTCATTAAATGTCATTTTTTATTTTATAAATAGCATTGATTTCAATTTGATTGAAAATGTGTACATTGATTTTAACTAGAATGGAACATTAAATAAAATAACAAATTATAAATTTAAAATTAAGAAGTCATATTAAAAAGCCCTTAAGGTTATTCATAAAAGAGTTTTAATAAAAAACATTGAAACAACTTTCTAAAATTGAATTAACTATTTAAGCATTCAAAACTATGTTTGAATGAACCTAATTATTTAAACTAAAACTAATTCAACTTATTTGCAATCAAATTCACCATTTCATTTATACATTTGTAAAATACATATTATTTTTATTTAAAATTTGTTTGTACATTTTTTAAGAGTTTTAAAAATTAACTGACAAAACCGGGAAACTGTTAACCCCTTTTTAACCTTTACTTTAAAATATTGTTTTATTAAAAAATAAGGAAAGCTCTAAAATGAATCGTAATATTGAAGTCTGTTTATCTCAAATTTAGTAGTGTTACTCATTATAACTAACCCCCTTAAAATATTTCTTAATAGAAAAATATTGATTGTTTATTATGTGATATTATTAAAAAGAAATTATTGTTATATTAAATCTTAAAAATAAATTTCGATTATGATGTTTATTACTTGAAAAAAAATTTAATTGCGAATTAAAATAAAAGAAATTATTTAAATTTAATATAAAAAACAATAAAAATTTAATAAAAATGTAATATCACATTAAAATATGTTGTGTATCATCAAAAAACCTTAGCCTATTTTTAGATTATAATGTTTTTTTTAACATATTTGATGGATTCAAATTCTAAGATAACTTTTGTTTTGAATAAATTGTTTATGGTATGTTTATAGAAAATTAAGCATATAATTTAAGACATTATTATTCATATAGTTGACAATTGATACACAATTAAGTTACATACAGTTAAGCATTTAATTTATTAAAATTAATACTCTTGCTAAGTATTTTTCATTTATTACTATTTTAACTTCAATACAACAAATAAATCTTATTTTATCAAAAAGTATAAATAGAAAACACTATTAATAAATCAAAAAATAAGTATAATAAAGCTTTATAAACATTGAGCTAAATGTTAGATTCGATAAAAAAGAGTAATTCGATATGCTCCAAGAATAAGGCAGTAAATTACTTTTCAGAATATTGAAAATAAAAATTACTCTCTAAATACACGCTATATATTAATAAATTTTCTTAGTGTAGTTTAACTCCGATTCCATCCAAATTGTCTATATATCGATGAAAGTTATTATAAGAAGAATAAAATTCAAATAGTTCATAATCTCAAAATTGACTTTTTTGAGTTACTGCCTTATTTGTTACGTATAACGAATTACTCTTTTCTATCGAATCTAACATTAGCTCAATACTTATAAAGCTTTATTATACTTATTTTTTGATTTATTAAAAAAGTTAAATTTTGAATTCATTTAACGATATTGGTGGGACTATGTTTATATTAAAGATGTGCAATGAAAGTTAATTACGAATTTTATAGTGAAATATTAACATAATATGCAATTCCTTTGTCCTTTATTATATTACAGCGAAAAAGAATATTGACTAATTTACGTAATTACAACAAGAAATATTGTTTATATGTTTTGTTTTGATATGCCTTGAGATGGGAAAACTTGAAAAAGTCAAGGGATTCTGAATAGCCCAAAAAATATTATAAAAAACCCAGCACAGGGGGGTCGCGGCACAGTGGTGACGTGCATAGTTGGATCAAGTATAATGATATCTGACAGTGATTAAAATCACTATAAAAAAACATTTCGATGCAAATCTTTAGATAGTGTTTAATTTTAAAAAATTGGTGGATTATTCCAAAAGCTACTTGATCTGCTGGTTCCTTATTAATATCTCGATTAAGAAAAAGTATGTCGAATGAAAAAAGGAGTATTAAAAAATAGTATTTCCCATAAAAAAATTGTGTTGATCGATACACTTTTCAATAAGTTATAGGATTATAAAGTTAAAAAAAACCAGCACAGGGGGGTCGCGGCACAGTGGTGACGTGGCATAGTTGGATCAAGTAAATGATATCTGACAGTGATTAAAATCACTATCAAAAATAAACGCTTCGATGCAAATCTTTAGATAGTGTTTAATTTTAAAAAAA